TGATTTAATTGAAGATTCGTGTTTAATGAGTTCAAGCTCTTTTTTTTGACAAATGAAATATCCAATTTGTTAATTACTCCCCACATAACCAACCACTTTATTTCGTCAACCAACATATTTTCTTATTCAGCACAGTCGACATAAATTCCCTTCGAATGGTTATTGTTTTGAGTTGACATAATTGAAGTATTTACTCTGCTGAAACAATAACCGGAAAAATTTCGAATTTGCATTTAATGGCCGTAGAAATCATCGTTGATTGTTATTTATGGAGTGAATTTTAATAAATGTGTTTTAAATTTTGCACATATAAAAAGATGTAGCAGGCTTTTTGGGGCTGCGAAGCGCTCACGCACACACACACACACCCACACACGCGCGCAGGCATCGTTTCGTGAGCCATTATGCAAATTGGCAACAGCATCGGAGTCGAAATCGAAATGGCCCGAACCAGAGCGAACCGAAAGCCGAAAGAGTCGGAAAGCTGTAATGCCCGGCTCTTACTACTCATAAATCTACTGCAATGCATTGCAATGGTACAAATCAAATCATAACTTATTTGCATACATACGAGCAGAGCCTAACTTCTGTGTGTGTGTGTGTGAAGGTCTCCAATCTGCAGGATAGTAGTGAAAGTGGTAGTGGCAGTAGTGAGTAGTACGTATGCGCCATCTCAATTACATTACACAGTCCTGGCCGGGCATTTTGTGTGCTGCGCAAATCTTTGCCAAATTCAGTCACGTTTCCATAACACACTGACCAGGACCTCGACCACAACAGCCATCTAGCCATCTAGCCATCCTGCCAGTCAGCCATTCAGCCAGTCAGGCAGTGGGCCAGTGAGCCAGTGAGCCAGGACCCCCATGAAAGTGTATTAAATTCATGCTGAAGTTGGGGCTTTCCCACCCGCACTGGCGGCGGAACGAGTGCGCTTAGAAAGCCATAAAATATTTATGTCTCAGCCAGTTTGCGAATGAATTTGAAGGCCAATGCAGGAGCATAAACTTTGATACACTCAACCGGCCAATCGAATTGGGGATTGACTGGGGGCGAGTGGTGGGGAATCGATAGCGCAAACAATATGCAAGGGCAAACAAAGTTGTTCCCATTTTGCTGGTCATCGTAAATAGGTTTCCTTCATTCAATAGTTTTTGTTTTTTCAATGATCATAATTGAGCTTTATTGGCCAACCAAAATGGCAAGGTTGCTTTCGACGAAACAAAAATACTGAAAGCGATAAGTAAACAAGTTGGTCGCTTAGTCAATTTAACTACTGCACTTTGTTTTAATCGCAAAGTAAAACCCTTTTTCGTGGAGCGAGTTTATCGTGTCATAAAACATTGGAAATATATATCAATAATTAATATTCAACAAATTGGAATCTAGAGAACAAGTACATAATGTACAATATTTTGCATCGCATTAACTGGGGTAAACAGAGGACTTCTTCATACCCAACTGAACAAATGAGAAAGAACTTGTAATCGATAAACAAATAAGCTGGCTACTCAGCCAAAACAAGCCGACTTGCCGTATCAATAAAAAGTCGGATAATTTTCGCCATGTTGTTTGGGTTGCGCCCTGTGGTTTATTTATATATTTATTATTTTCTTTATTACTCATGCGCCCGGGCAATGTTTGCGTTATTTTTTTGGTTCAACGGCTTATGAAATTATGATAGTAAAACCCGACTACGGCAACAGCAGCCATTTGAAAACTCGTAAATCAACCCACACGCAATGTCTGCTCCATTTGGCAAATATAAAAAGAATTCTCTGCCTTGGTTTCTTTTGAAAAAGGCGAACAAAAATTCAATTATTTGCCATATGAAACGGTCATTGACTGACTGATGGTCAGTGGCAAAGGTTGCTCACTCCCATCCTTTGTTGTCGCTTTTCTATGTCTTGTGACCTCTTACCCCCAACCCGCATCCCTCTGGCGCCCCTTAACCCTTAGGTTGGCCATTAATGTTTACGAGGGAGCGAAGAAAGTTACAATATTTTGTCGGGGGCGGACATAAACGTTATTCTTATTGATATGGCTGGCTGTAAAACCGGCGAAACTCTGGCCAACTCACTAAGCAAATATGTGAAATTAGAATTTCATTGCCTAATCTGAATTTCCAATTAAGCCCTGCTCATCGGATTCACACACACACTCACACGCACACACACACAGCCGCGACTCATTATCGCATATTGGGTTTGCAAAATTTTAAGCCACAATTCCGATCCCTCAGCGCCGCATCCTATATGCCCACTTCCATCCGGCCAATCCGGGTGACAGGCGGCGAAGGACGAAGGACGAGGCGCGAAGGTCACACATCGATGGGCAGGCATAACTCCGGCTTATTTACTGCCCGCATGTGTGCCGCACCCCCTCCCCCGTCCCTCGTCCTTCGTCCTTGCCCTGTGAGCCACCCACTTTTGCTGCAGGCTGCAGGACGGTGTCATGTTGGCGTAATGGCCGAAAAGGACGAAAATCGGGATTTTGCGTGCGGAATGACTTTTGCGCCCCGCATTTAAATGAAGGCAGGCTTAAATGGATTCCGGGCCCGGGCTCTGGCCCGGGTTTAAATCCACTTCTTCGACTCGGAATGATTTTTGCAGCTCCTACGCTCTGCGCGAAAGTTGGCTTTTTCGCAGCCCGGGCTCCAATTAACTTCGCACCTGTGGGCCCTCTAATTGAGTTCCCCTTTGAGACTTTTTATTTCGACGTCGGAATTCGTTTAGTGCGAAGTGCAGGCGCACATGTATCCATCCGCACATATCCGTGTAGTGTGGCAGATGGGACAGCCGGCTCAAGTTATCCTCCACGTGCCACATGCCACATGCCACATGCCACGCGGCTCGGCAGCTCGGCTGTTCGGCTGCTTGGCTGCACGGCTGGTTTCGCCGCGAAGAACACTACACGCCGGTGTCCTATTAATGGGAAATACTTTTTTGTAATTAAATAATAATTTAGCTGGCGGGGCAAGTGGCAGAGTGGAAGATGCGATGACGGGCCCGCCCACGCAGGCCAAAAGGGCCCAAAGTTGCCACAGCAACAGCCATCTTAGGCTAAATATATCCATATGTGTACCGAGAAACTTAAATCAATTATCTTTAAAGCATGTGATTTTGCTTGACTTTTTGGTTAAAAATTCCTAATGATCTAAGGTATTTTTCTGACAAACTTTTACAAGGGGTTTGTTTTCAAATACTTATTTACGATAGTGGATTTCTTTTGCTTAAGAGTACGTATGTTTTTACAGTGCACACATTCGTGGGTAAATTTATTTGAATTCGTTTGTGGTTTAATGCCAGACACTCGCTGAGTTTATGAGGTCGTCGTCTTTCATGGCCAAAGCAAAACGAGTGTAGCTCTCGATGAACTACTCTCCATTGTTTCGGCCATTTTCATGACGCGGGGGAATAAACTCCTCCGCCGATTTGGTTGAAATAGAAGTCTGGCCACCTCAGATAATGACACATGCTGCTGCGGTGGAATAATTTTAGATTTTTCCGGCCGCAAACACCAGCGCCCGCAGTGACAGCGGCGGCAAACACAAACAATTAGCCTTGCCAACTGCAGCCGCAGGGCAACAGTGCGTATACGTGATTTATGAATGCGGTGCTCGCTTTGCGGTTATCACGGGTAGGTAAAATCGGAGCCAAGGCGCATTATGGCCGAATTGAGCGGGGCCGGGGCTAATTCAATTAGTGTTGTGTTTGCATTCTGACTTTGCCAACAGCAGTGCTTTGTTCAGGGCACATGAGCACGATATTCGATATTCGATAATTGATTTAGACAATCAGTGCACTTTGTTGCACTTTAGCTCGGGGCAATCAGGAGTCTGGATAAATATTGAGCACATTTCCTGCTCCTTTGCCTGTCCACCAATCACCGACACCACCACCGACATATACGTACTCGTAAATGTGTATGCATAAACGAAAGCCCTATGACTTTTGTCCCTCACTCCGAATTCTGCACTGAAGCCCGCACTGAATACCAGAATTCCACTGGCGTCCTGGCAGGCAAATGTAATGGCAGTGCAGACACATTGATAGCCACAGAAATGCTGGCAAATAGCAAAAATTTCACCTGAACCGAATTTCTCTGCAGGCCTGCGAAGAGTTGTTTGTTTGGTATTTGCCTTTGACCAACAGTTATGGGCAAAAGCGAAGGGCTGGCGGAAGGGGGAGGGGGAAGGCGAATTCCGGGAAACTACGCCAATAGTTCTGACAGAATAGAAAATCACAACAAGAGCTCCCAGCAACAAACAGCAAAAATCAACAGCAGCAAAGAATAAGCAAAAATATTTTCCCTACCTTCCAACAAATTGGCTGCCAAATGAAAAGCTGTCGGTGGAAACGGGGGAAAATTGGATGGACAGATGGGTGGTGGGATTCAAAATTAATATGTGGAGTGTGCCACTGTCGAAATGGCAACTATTTGATGCCGAATTTCCTCAGAGTCACACGGAGAAATTTCCACAACTGTTTATACAAAATCTGAGTATAAAAGCTGAGTGAAGTGCACTTCAATGGCAGTATATAGTAGATTCGATTCAGCAGATATTTATGAAAATACTGATGGCCAAGTTTGCTCATCGCTTTTCAAGAGTGTTTATTGTGTATCTGCACAATCGATAGATAAGCAACATAAAAAATCAAAGTCTTTTCCCTGCCCTTAACAAACCTTTTAAAAACCACGTAAAAAAGTGTACATAATTTCTTGCTAAGTTATTCAGATGAGAGCTAAGAAAGATGAGTTTTCTTTGCATTCAAGTTCTGGCTTTAACATCCGTTCATACAAAATAGAATCAATGCGCATTGCTTACCATATAAATACGATATTAAATATAGATGCGCTGGCAAGCCCCTAATTGAGCCGTAACTCAATAATTTCAATTAAACTTTCACAACACAAAAGCGAGCCCATTCCGATCGAAATAATTTAAATGTGGTCCAGGGACCTGCATAATTGATGAGCCTTTTCAATTGCTTGTTTTGCAGGAAGCATATCGTCGCTGGGTCTGCAGTACTCTGGTGCCGTACTTCGCCGAGCCAAAGGACGTGTCGCCGAAGCCGAATCCGAAGCCGAGTTCGAAGGACGAGGGGCAGGGGCAGGGCGGCAAGGGCAAGCGCTCGGCGAGAAGTGCAGCGGGTCCGGCGGACGGAATCAAGCATAAATCTCTGAAATTAATCAGCAATAACAATAAATCAAATAACGGCAATAACATGAACGAGCGTCAGATTAATCAGAAGCATGACAAGAGCTCCAATGCGAACGCGAATGCGAATGCGAACTCGCAGGCCAGCAAGGACATTGACCGCAGCGAGGAGGAGACTGCTCGAAGGGACCTGGCTCAGACGTTCTACGACGCCGTTGGCCTCTCCCAGCCCCGTCGCGGAGGGGAGCCCCTCCTCTCCGGGGGCGGCAACCGGAACGGGAACGGGGGCGTGGCGCCAGACGAAGAACCAGCACCCGACGGCGGCTCCGAGCTCGAAACGGATATGGATAAGGATAAGGATAAGGACACGGAAAGGGAAAGGGAAAGCGAAAGGGACGGGAACGGGGACAGGGATGGGGAGACGGATACGGAGGCTGAGGCCAAACAACAATCCAATAATTTCATATCGACTGCCAATAATTCGGATCCCAGAGCCACGGATCCAGTGATATCAAAACTACAGAAGAGGTGAGCAAGCTTTGAGATGATTTAAAAGTATAAGTTTAATTTCAAAATGATGTAGTTATTATTGATATGAATATTTTATGTTTATGTTCCATGTTCCTTATATACATATACCCTTAGAGTAAATTAAATCTTTATTCTTCTTAGCACATATTCATTTTCAATTAACTTCTTGATTTGTAAACTTATTAAAAAGGTGTATTATTTAACTAATTATCAGCAAATTATATTACACAATAACTCAGCTATGATTCCATGTTATCTGATTGATATATCTTAACCTCCACCCCACAGATCAACACGCAAGACAGAGTTCCGTAAGCGGCGTCGAATCCGGCCGTGTCTGAGCGTCTGCCAAACCGTGGAACAAAAGTGCCCCTACCTGCTGCCCGCCGATCGCGCCCCCGCGCTGCCCACCCAATATGCCGGCGAGCCGACATTTCTCTGCCTAGGTGAGTGTTCCCCCCCCTCCCTCCAGTTTATAGTTCATACTGATTCCTATTCCGATCCCCGCCAGATCAAAACATTCCCGAGACCGGGGCGCAGCTGGAGAAGTCGAGCTACGGGCCCAACGACTGCTGCTACAGCTACTGCAACGGACCGGCCTCGGGGATCTGCACCGTGTGCCAGGAGTTCAGCGAGGCTCGCCGGGATCAGGATCAGGATAGCTCGGGCAACTCGACGCGCCGCGTGCACAACATCACCATCTCGCTGAGCTCGCATCCCGGGGAGCACGCGCGGGCCAAGAGCGTGGCGATCGCCCTGCGGAACGTGAGCCAGCCCGGCGAAGACCCGGACGCGGTGGAGTCGCTGCTCGACCGCCTGCCGTACTACGCCCGCCACGAGGGGACCTTCTACTACGACGAGGAGGGCGAGATGCCGCAGGCGTCGCTCTCCGGCGACTGCGCCGTGGTGCCCAGCGTCACCTCCCGCTGCACGATCCCGTACTACGCCTCCGGTACGGAGGCGGTGGCCAGGCCGCCCACGCAGCTGCTGGTCTGGCTGAGCGCCCTGCTCGGCCTGCTGAGCAGCTGCGGGGCGGCGCGCCAGCGGTGGAGCTGCCAGTGGAGCAGCGGTTGCGGCGGGTGCGGCGGCCACCGGAATCGCAGTCGTCAGCCGGCGGTCGCCGCCTGCGCCGCCAGCTGCCACGAGCAGCAGCTGGTGAGGGCCAGGAGCAGCGGGTCGAAGACTCCCGCGGGCAGGAGGGAGCGGCCAAAGGAGGCGGCCACTGGCCCAGTGGTGCAGCCCAAGTCTGGGTGGCTGTGGGCGAGGTCCTGGCCCTCCTACAAGCTGGCCTGCAGCAGAGTGCGCTTCTTCAGCAGCAGGAGCAAGTTCAAAGGCGAGCTGGAGCCGCCCAGTCGCTCGAAGGACTCGCAATCGCTGAGCCGCGGGACAGGATGTGTAAGGACGCGGAACTACCGTTACTTCTACTACTACAACTACAACATCAACGACTGGTGGCGGAGATGGTGGCGCTGCCTGAGCAGCGGCGCCTTATAGTGCCTGCGGAAAGTAAGCGGTCGGTGGAGGGGATGCGAATCGAACGAGGACGAAACACTAATAATAGCTAAATCGGATGCGATTACGATGCATAATGCATAGTAGGTGTGGCAAGGGCCGAACGAGAGACACAGCTAAACACACAGAAATCCACGGAATACGAATTAAACGAAACGTAAAACAGAAACCACTTAAATATTTATGGTCCTCTTTCAAACGAAATAAAAACAAGCATGAATTAATTATAAATCTCTATTGAAACAAAACCAAAATAGCATATTTTATTACAACTAGAACAAAGAATATGAATATTTAATTAAACAAAAAGCAACTGCCACAAGAATAGGTTTTTTAGATAAACGATAACGGAAGTATAAAAGAAAAACAAAAAAAAAAAAAAAAACCAAAAACATTTAACAAACGCATACAACTAAAATATAAAAGGGGATAGCGACGAAGAACATAAATAGTTAATAATTTAATTACTGGCGAACACAAATACGACAAGTTTAGGTTAGCTAAAAAACAAAAAGATGAATGAAAACAAAGAGCATCCAAATTTACTAGACTAAAATTTGAAAACGGCAAAAGCGATTAGAGGAAAACAAAAGAAAATCCGAGGCAGGACAGCGATGCCGCGGGAAATGCAGTCACATTTTCAGCCAGAGAACAGCGTAGAAGCCGCGTATCAACCACCTTTCAAAGAAAAAGAAAAGCGAAACGTGAACTTTACTTAATTAGTTTAACGAGTGCATATGCGATTGCGTGTGTCGAATACTATAGTCGAGCGAGTGGGAGCGATTTAATTAACATTAAACAATTAACGGGAATGAAAACCAAAAGAAGCCGCAAAAGTGTCTAAAAATGTCTTTAGTTTAAACATAAATAGGAGAAACGTAAACATTTGTATAATCCAGAAAACAAAAGAGCCAAAATGGAAAAGAGAGGAGTATGTAAAGCGCACAGTAAAACGTATCTTTAAGATTCATCGACCGACATTCTGGAGGGAGTCAACGTAATAAAGTCCGTCAATTCGGATCGGGATTCGGGATTCGGGTAGCGAACGGAAGCATTACCAGCATATAGAACCATGCGCCACATAAGACATATATATGTACGATAGATATAGTCAAGTGTGCAACGTAAGCCCCCGATAAGATGGAGGGGCCGTGGTCGAAAAACAACAACAACAACAACAATATACCTACTATATAAATACTAACAATGAATAATAATACTTTTTGTAATAAAGTGAACTCTATGTAGCGTATATATACTAATTATATATATATATGAAATATATATATTTATATAATATATATTGTCTTAACAACTTATCGTACATAACTTGCAGCAAATGAAAACTATGAGAAATCCAAACGAGAACCCCCTAACGGCGAAAACAAAAAACCAAAAACAAACACGTAGCAACTAAGACATATTGAAATAATTAGTCGTATTTGGTATTAACTAATTACCTATTAAAGTAAGAACTAACAATTTGAGAGACCCTCTGATAGAGCACACTCGCCACACTCTCACAGATATAGAAAGCCACCTTCTTCGAGCACTCCTAATGGTTCAGTTAGTTTCCCCCACGAAAACCCATCACCCTTCACCTCTCACCTTCCACAATTCACCTTTCACCTGTCACTTCTTTGACACCCTCCCACGTTTTCGGGAAAGCGTTTTGTTCGATCTTTTCTCTGAGGTCTATTATCGAACGGTTTAACCCACTGCAGGCAGTGTCGGAGTTACCAGGATTTAAGTCTATTAGGAATGCTTTTCCGTTGAGCGTCGATCGGAGCGTTTCCACCACGAATTTCCACAGCAGATTGCATTACATAACTGACGAAATTACTTTAGGAGGAGATAGCGGGATTCGAGCGGGACGACGGTGTGGCTTTTGTTAGATGTTGTAGTAGAACGTAACGATATAACGATAGCGAGCAGGAGCAGCAGAAGCAAAATAAGCAGCAGCAGCAGCCTTCATTACGAACCCTCCATTCTCTCTGGTCAGCCCCCATATCAATGACTCTTGTAAATACAGATACGTATGAGCAATTCGCCCGACTCCATCTGCACAGTCCCCTCACCGCAGGATCCATTTACCCATTTCTCGCCCTTTGATTCGACAAAGTTTCCCTAATTGCGGTCATATGCGAGGCTCGTTCGCGAATTTACAAGCCAGGCCAACTTTCACTTATCTCTGTACATTGGGGCGAATGCGAAACCTTTTCTAAGAGAACGGGGAGCGGGAAAGTAGGAGCAGGCGGGGCAGACACCGTTATCGGGCATTTCAATGGCGGAACGGAAGCGAAAGCGGAAACGGAAACGAAATAGAAAACGGCGAACGGCGAACGGAGAACGGAGAACGGAGAACGGAAACAGAAACAAAACAGCAAAGGAACAGAGCAGAGTCAGCCGCTGGCACAAATTGCGCGCATATAGAATGCAAATTGTTATGAATTATTGTGTACTTTTGTAAAACTTTTTGATATATATAATATAGTTAACATGAATAGATGCCTAAATAATAATAAATTAAATGTTAATTTATTTAAATGTAAACAATAAATAGAGAAGGACACTGGAGTAGGCCCGCGCGACTCGGAGGCGGGCCGAGAGCATTCCGGTTTGTTGGTCAATGCGACTCGATCCCGCGCCCAAGTCCGATCCCGGGCATTAGCGTATGTACGAATAAATTTTAGGCACCGCAGGACGAGGACCTTGACGCCCCTTCGCCCGGACACTTCGTCCTCGGAGGAGGCGGGGTCCTGTGCATAGCGAACTAGTTGAATTGTGTATGTATCGTGGGTAAATCACAGCACCAGATCTGATCCATCGACTTTGCATGGGCGCAGACACCACTCATGCGATCCACACACAATCGATTCCAATTCAGCTCCAAATCCGAATCAATAACCAATTAGCACGAATTATACAATAATTTTTGTAATTGATTAGCCGCTGCCACACAAACAAAACCAAAAACTAAGAACCGAAAACCGAAACCAGAAAACCAAAAACCAAAACGAAAATCAACAAGTAAAACCAAAAAAACTCCGCTGCAGCGAATGCTAGCAATTATTTTTTACAAAAACCAAAAAAAAAAACTATTTAAAATATGTAAAAAAAAAGAGATTTTTAAAAGCCGAAACAAAATTGGAAACACGAAATTCTTTTTAGGCCAGATGAAATTACATAATTGTGTGCCAGGACAAAGTGACAAAATATATTAAAACAAAGGAAACGTTAAAATGTGTTGTATTTGATATCATGCAAGCATGCACAGAAAAACCGAACAAAGACGAATAAATAAAACCAATTAATATAAACGAAATTCATAGCGTCAAGTCAAATTTAATTTAATTAAATGAAAAACATAGACTAATTTAATGGAAAGCCACACAGCTAGCAAACAAAACAAAAAGTCTCCATAAAATTGAATACTCTAACCATAGTATTTCCCGAATGAAAAGTTTGCATAGTGAAAATCGAATCCAACAATGACAGCCCCTCCCCAAATAACAGTAATTTAGTCGAAACTGATAAAGAAACGTAAAATCTAAATCCCACTTGAGACAGCTAAAAACTTTAAAAAAAAAACTAAACTGAAATCTTCTGTACTTGTTATTAAAAATACGAAACGTAAGGATAAATAAAACATAGAAAAATCAACAAATTATAAAAAAAACGATGAAAAAATCCAAAAATAGAACACGGAAAACGAAATTTCTTAGTCCTTAAGCTAAAATCTAAAAACGAAATGAAAGTAATTTCCCCAGCCAAACTATCTAAAATAATGAAAATGATTTCCAATGCGACGGAGGAGAAGAATAGTAATACTATCTAATAATAATGGCAACTGGCATAATTATGGTAATTGTAAAATAATTAAACAATGACGTAAACGTAATACCGAAACCGAAAAAAATCGAAAATAATAAAAAATAAATTGTTGTTATTGAATGTATTTGTATAGAAAAATTATTATGATTATGACGATGAATAATAAATGATTACAAAAATAATAATTATTGTTCAAACCGAAAAAGCAAACAAAAAAACAAAACAAATATATATATATACGAGAAAACGACTTTGGCTTCCTACTGGGATGAAGTGGAGGATCCCGGACACGTGTCGAATCCCGTGGGTTTTCCTCCGCAAAAAGCTGCTTAATGGTCGCGGAAAACCCCCCTACAAACACAATAATTAGGTGTTCCCGGGGAAAAGGGGGGAAACGGAATAAAAGTGGATACAGCAAAGAATAGCGATATAAAAAAATAATTTAATAATCCGATGATTCAGGATTAATGAAGCGTATCCTTTTGGATTTAGATATAATTATTAGTTTTTTCATTTAATTTCTGTTGATAATCGGATAACTAAATATACACAATTTTGTATAGGATTAAACTCGATATTAACATTTAACACGCATCTTATGATTTCGGAGTGTATAAACTTGGAGTTTATTGTTTCGCTTTCTCGCGAGCTCAATTCAATTAAACACCACCGCCGTAGTAATGGCCGTTTTATGGAAAATATAACTATACATATCTGAGGAGCCCTGCGTGGAAACCCTGATTTCCCCGAAGCAGCTAGCCAACAAAGTGGCAGCAATCAAGTGGCGAGTGCGGCGAGCGGTGGCAAGTAGCAAGTGGCAAGTGGCGTGTTCTGAAATCTCGCACGCACTTGCGTTTAAAGTGCTCCCAGGTTCTTTCGGGGGCTGCGCCGCCATTGTGTTATGTAACTTGTGGAACTCTCACTTTCGCTTTCCCCAGCCCGCTCAACGCAGGTGCTTAGCGGCAGTAACAGCGGCAACATCAGCGGCAGCCGCAACAGCACAACAACACTCTAATTAAGCGCGGTAAAAGGGGGGAGAGCGGGGGCCGGGAAGGACGAAAGGACGAGGGCAGTCGGGCAGTCGGGATACCGCTGCCGAAGCTGGCTCCTCCGCATCCGAACCGGAATCCGAGTCCGGATCCGGATCCTTCGGCTCTTTTGACCAGGGAACTGTGCCGCCGCTTCGCCGAGTTTTCAGATACGTTTCGGCTGGCGAAAGGGAAAGTTCGAATTGCGGAATTGCGGAACTGCGGGCGCCAGGAAATCCCTCGCTTTTCCGGCGGTTTTCGCGAGTTTTCTGCGGGCTGAGTGCTAACGCACTTTTGGTACGTGTTTATCCGCCGTATTTGCGGATATACGTGTGTTTGTGTGGCTAAATATTTGCCCAGTGTTAACGAGTTGTGCGACAACGGTCAACTGCCATTTCTGTTTACTCAAAGCGCACTTGCGGTTATTTCTGCATACTTTTTGGCGCCACCTGCTAAAATACAGGTTGGAAAAGCCTAATTGCCTACATGTCCAAATCGTTTATGTGGCATGGAAACTTTATGCCAACTGACGGCTACATGGATTC